GCAGGTACGCAATCAATGTGTCATCGTGAACAACGCCCTTCCACCCCTGCGCGCGCTCAGCGGGCCACGGTAAAATTATCAAAGACTGACTGGTCCGCGGCGATAAAAAGGTTGGGGACCACTGCTGTATATGACTGTATGTTGCCAAAAATGATTTGTTTATATCTGTATGATTCTATAAATCTTGAAAAAAATATAGGTGTGTTTGCCTATTCATGGAATTATGAATATATTTTATTAAATCTGCCATCTTTGATCAAAAAGATAACATACTCCATTTCATTCTGATCATTCACAAAAAGCTTACTAATTCATAGCATCACTGGATAAACAAATTATAATTATGATGAACTGCTTTTCCACTTGAAATCTCAACTATGTTTAATCCATTGGATGCTAAATTTGCTGAACCCCTTGAATCAAAATGAGGTTTAAGTAATTTAAGATGATTCATATTGCATGTAAGAAGTAAGCCTTACAATTGATTATGTGCTGCATCATAATGGACCCAACAGCAGTTCTCCAGATCAGATAGCTATAGACATTACCATTTTTTTCAGTGAGTTAATGACTACTTGTCAACTTATTGCCATATTTATATTCTGTCCGTTTTTATTCTTTCAGATAGATTACAAATCAAATATACTTCAAATTACAGGTATTTGAATTGTTCCATACTTTACATTTCTGACTAGCCAAGTTATTTCTCACTGAAAAGTGTCTTTACCGTATGCTAGAATGTGCTGTTTATGGATCCTCCCTCGATCAAATCAATTATCAGATCAGTTTTAAGGAAAACATGGGATATGCAAATGATTTAAAAGAGGTTTTTGAAACTTTACACATGAATATGTTCTGGATTATAGCAACAGACTAAAGATAACAATTTCATCTTCAGTTTCATAGACAAAAAGTTTAGGTTTGAGAAGATGATGTTGTATGTGAGCCCAAAGACATCCTGTTTTTGTTAGATGGAACATCTTTAATGTTAGGAGTAAAGGAGCATGTGCAGTCGAACAGATTAAGCATTTCAGACCATCAACCCTATTTTATTCAACATACCAGGGAGCCTCTTTTATTTGAACAGCAATACTCCATCCCATACTACAAAAACTACCCCAAAAAATTCCTCAGATGTGCCAATGTTGTTAGTCATTAAATTGGCTCTTGAAAGAAGTGCCAAAAGCCTCTCTATTCTATAAAAGTAGCACTACCATTGTCTATATCTCATCCCAATTTATATAAGTACCAGACTTTGCAAACTAGAGAGAATGTTCAGAGAATTAGATAATAACTGGGTATAATCACACTTAGACGGCTCATTTTACTGATCCTTTTTTCACTAGAGTTCTCATTCAGTCTTCAATTTCCTATCACCAATTAGAATGGCGTTGTAAGTGGCAATTTTATAAAATGTTCATGCAGATTAGTAAGGTACTGCTTGAGCTTGTTTAGCACACCCTCTAAATTAAACCTAGAAGGAAAATTGTTTGTTATCTTAAATTTGTATTCCACAATTTTTTCATATGAATTTCTTAGCTACTTTTTTTGCTGTAATTTACATTTATAGAGAGCTGTTTAAATTTCACTTGCTAATTGAGGAGCAATCCAATGAAGCTAGCTATATGTAAGCAAATGAAGGCTTTTATCTTTTACTTGAGACAACAATCCTCAAATAATATCTACTACTGCCTTTCCAAGTATTTGGGTAAAACCACATCCAGAGACACACAATAGCATTAAGAAAACAAAAAGCTACTGGTCTCTGGAAAAGTGCACTACATCTTTTATATCCATACTGTATATCATATTCAAAGCAAGTTAAATTCCTGCTAATTCATGAGACTAAATCTACTCCCAAAGCTGATAACAGCTGGTCCTGTTAACTTAAGTCTTCAGTACATTCATATCAAGTTTTAGTACTAAAATTTATCTTACTAGAAGAACACTGACAGATGTTAACTAAAGGTGGGAAGGCATCATGTTCTTGCAGACAAGTGAAATATCATGTCCATTATTAATTAATTTTATTTTACAGGATTTTAATTTTTAAATAGGACATTTAAAGTTAATATTGTTCAGCAATATTAATATTTTATTGTAATAAAATGACTGAGCTAGACTGTTATAAATAATATTTCTATGGAAGAAGAAACAATGGATTCTTATGATCTATTCCTCTTGTCTCACATAGACTAGAGACATATGTTTTATGATATATCACATTTTTTCAACTATAAGACGCTCCAGACCATAAGACGCACCTAGCTTTTGGGAAGGAAAACAAGAAAAAAAAAACTGCCTCTGCCTCCCAGCAATTTGCCTCCTTGCAGCAAACAGAAAACAGCCTGGTCAGCTTCAGCACAGCCTGATTTAGCATGAGCAGCTGATTGGCGGTTAGATCGGCCTCCCAGAGTACTGATCAGCTGTTCCAGACTGCGAGGATCTCTGCTAGCCATCACTGCTTCTTTGTGTCCCATTTTTGGGCTCTGTGCATCCTGTTTTCACCCTCTGCATGCCCTGCTTTCACCCTCTGCATGCCCCTTTTTGGCCCATTCCAGGTGGCGATCGCTGTCGCCTGGAACAGGCCAAAAATGGGGCACATGGTGGGCAAAAATGGGGCATGCGGAGGCCAAAAACCAGAGGCCAAAAATGGGGCACACAGAGTTGGCGATAGGTGGCAGCAATCCCGCAGCCTGGAATAGCTGATTGGCGGTATTCTTGGAGGCTGATCCAACTGCCACTCAGCTGCTCGTACTAAATCAGGCTGTGCTGAAGCTGACCAGGCTGTTTGCTGCAAGGAGGCAAACTGTTGGGAGACAGAGGCCGAAGGGTGGGGGCCAGCGGGTGGACAGGGCAATATTCGCTCTATAAGACGCACAGAAATTTCCACCCATTTTTTGGGGGGGAGAAAAGTGTGTCTTACAGGACGAAAAAAACCCCAGTATTTATTTTCTTACCTGAAAAGAATATTTTATCAAAGAAGCAAATATTTGGGAGGAGAAATTTATAGTGCAATCTTTATGTACTTACTCAGATAGAAATAGTCATAAAGTGTGAAAAATGAACATTTTAGCAGAGTTGAACAGTTGAAGAGAGTTCTGTTTTAGGATTACATTACTCTCTGATCCATTTTTTTATTCCCTGTGTCTATCTTTTGTGGGCTAAATAGGATTAAACAGGTGGCATGTTCCCTATTAAATGTTTTTGACTTACATGTATTTTTTAAAATCTTGTCTGTACCCATGACTATAGGAGGATACTTCTGCTACTATAACAGGACTGTGCCCAATTCATTTGTCCCCTCTTGATATCATGTTCTCCTCATATCTGGAAGAATCTCTACATCTGGAAGACATGCAGAGACTACACAACTGAGGAGAAACCAATTCAGTGGAGGGCATGACTATATCAACAAAGAAACTCCAACTGAATATAACCATTTTTAAAAAGGCAGAAAATAAGGGGTGGAAACCCCATTTATTAGTTTGCATCAACAATTTAATCTCCACAAAAAAATTTTTTCCTTCTTCTAGGGTACATGTCTTTCTGTTTTATGTATTTCTTTCTTTCATGTTTTTTTTTAATGAACCCTGATTGCTGAGTTATATTAAGAAGGTAAGACTAATAGTATAGTTAAGCAGATATTAGTCACCACATTGGAAAAAGAAAGCACCTGTTAATTGATTATTAATGAAAAAATTCAGTTGGTTTAACTGATCTTGCAGATTAGCATGTGATTGCAGTTCAAAAATAGTGCCTTGAGTCTGACACTCCTTTTTAAGCAAGAAAGAACAAGAATGATGAATTCCTTGTAAAGGACCAAGAATTCAGTTTTCAATCTTTCAGTCATGCTTCGCTTCTTTTGCCTCTGAGAAGGAACCTTCATGTTTTGTAAGGATCCGAAACAGCCCTGTATAGCTATAGGTTATATAGAAAACCAGAAATAATGATTGCTTGTTGTTGTTGTTATTTTTGCATCAACTTCCTGAATTATGATCTAACCTATCATCATATCCAGGGGAAAAAAGCCTAATACAGCTATGCCTACAATCTCCTTCTATAGTCTTTTTCAGATTCTTGATGAACAGGTTTTAGGGCTTTCGCAGGTCAACTTTTTTCTTCTCCTTGCTTTTCTTCTTGCTTAATAATGCTGGGGAAAACAAATGCTTGCTAATTATTCTGTTTTGCATTCCACAGAGAACAATCTTACTTCTGATTTAAATTCTTTTATTATGGGCCAGCAGTCTCAGTCAATTTTATTTTAGGTCATTAAGCCTTACTCATCCTTTTATGTAGCAAAAATATTATTGACATATATGCTACTAGAAAACATATTTGATAGTGAATAAAATGAGCTAGATATTTTAAAAATAAACTTTTTTAAAAAAACTAGCAAAGTTATTATGAAACAAGTCATTAAAGAACAAAGATTATAGAACAGAAAGTTCAGAAGTATAACATTTCAGCATTTTTCAGAATATTTAATCATTCAGCATGAGTTTTGAAGGGGAGAGAGTTGTGATATTATAATATTTAAAGGTCCTGATGCTTATCATCTGTTATCTTTATTTAACATAATCAATACTTTCTATAAAGGTATGATTTTGGTCTAAATATCATAAAGAGATGCCATAAATCCATAAAATTAAACACTTACCTGTTACATTAATAGGGATAACATCAGCTGGGACTGCCTGAGCCTGTTGTCGCATCTTTTCCTCTGGAGTTGGCAGTGGAAGTGATTTGGTCCAATTTGTCTGAGTATTGATGTCAGATAATTCATCAGGAGTTGGTGATTTGGGTCTTTTGACAGGAATAAGCTTCTCCTCCTCAGGAGAAGGAGTGGAACACTAAAAAAAAACCAACAGTATCATTAATTGTAGGGATTTTATAAAATTTGTTTTAGAAAATTGCAGCAAAAGACATTTTTCCAGCTACACATTACCTTATTTTAAATAAATTATTTCTCCTGTGAACAAGACATTGTGAGAGAATTGGAAAAAATGTTTTTGACATCTGACTCAATTTCTTATGACAATTTTGCAGAAGATTTTTAATAGCCAAAACAAGAATAATTCATGGTTCAATTCCTTACTAAAGTATTTAGTAAGAAAGTAATCAAACATGTAATGATTCATTCCATTAGTATATTTGCTCTTAAAGACAACTGTAAGTCTATTAATCTATAAATGATAGGTTAGTTTTTCTTCAATATTTTTACTTTCTGGAATGTATTCTGGAGCAAACTCATTTGGGGCTTTCTTATATTTTTTTAAAAAATTGATTAACAGTGACATATTCATTCTTTTAGAAAAGAAATTGTTTTGGATTTAATCATGGAATCGCTTACTCCATATTTTTTTCTCACAACAACAAAAGTATCTTGGAAGAGAGGAAGTTGCAGAGTGTCACACATTATGAACACTTGAGAAGATATTTAAACTACTGTGCAATCTTTATACTCCCAACAGTTAATATATTCTTAAGATTTGATAAATGTCCATTGAAACATTAATTTGACTAAATGATAGCATTTGGTATATAAGAAAACTGAGAATAGATCAAAATCTATCTCAAAATTATGTTAACATGGATATTTATAGGAATTTTTATAATAAATGCAAATGGGCAAACTACAAATCAAGGAATGCAGGTTAAAATGTCAGTTTGGGTTAAAACTCTGCCAAAAGTTGAGAATGACTTCAGTGACATAAATACTTAATAGCCTCTTAGAGTCTTGCCTATTGATGAACATTTCAATCATCACAACTGTGATGCACAAACAGAACATTAAACTAATATATGTATGGCAATTTCCATGTTCCCACTAAGATTTCTGACCATCATGTTGTCCCACGATCACATGATCTGCAACCTTCCTGCCAACTTCCCACAGGCAAAGTCAATCGGAAAGCCGGTAGTAAGTCAAAAGTTGTGATCACGTGAGGTCCTCTCTTAATGATGGCAACTGGGCATTGCCGGGACTTCAGTCTCCCAAACAATGCAGTGACATGATATTGTGCTTTATGAACATTCTGATCCCAGTTATTTTAACTAAGCAAGGACCACTTATACAGTAAATGCTATATCCATTTGTTTCATCTTTTAGAAGTGTATATTTTTCTAAAATATGACACACACCTTGCCGGGGGGGAGGGAATATACATATGAAGTTGCACTAAAGCAAAGCAATCTTAGTCATACAAACAACTTAACAATAAATCATGAATTAATGTTTACTTCCAGGATAGCCTTATAATCAACTTATTTTTTTAAAAAAAAAATCCCAAGCCAGAGCTGGTTTTGAAATTATATAACTCGCAGAAAAGAATACATAAGAATAAGAAGCCTATCCTTTTTGAGTGCAAGATAGAAATAGCAGAGTGGATTTTTATTTATTATGCAATAATAGCCAAAAGGGATGTTTCTTCTCTCTTGAGAATAGAATAATACTTAAAGTATGGTGGTGCTGTGTGGTAAGCAACAACAACAGATTTCAACATAATCATAAACATACTGATTAACAATTCCAAAATTAGTAACTGTCATAAGACAAGCCTGAATTGAATTTTTTTCAAATTTGAAAAGAAATAAAATGGCATATATTAAATAGTAAACTATACTTTTGTTTGGAAAGGAGACTGTACAGCTATAAATAAACACTGTTTAAGAGCATTTATAATATTTAATATAACAAGAATGTTGACAAAGTGGGAAATCTATGATGGGTCCATAGAACAAAATATCAAGGTATTTTACCAGCAGGAAAAAAAATGAATTTCTCATATGGTTATTGTTATAGAACAGTTAAACAGGAATTGATCTCTTCTAATAAATTTAAATGTTTTCAAATTTTCTCAATATTTTAGTACAATAAAGTATTTTGATTAAGCCACTAATTTTAATGCACCAAATCCCACTTGGGGTCCTAACATTACCTAATAGGAAAGGTATTTTTCTAGGTCATTCCAATCTGAATGTTGCTGAAAAACAGTTTCAGAGTTATGGCAACTCTGATAAAGAAATGTAAACATGGATGGCTTGTAGCAGCTGAAGTAATGCACTAGTGTTATCTATTACTAAATGTCCTAAAATTTCAACTCTAGAATTCTTAATATTTTGGGAGAGTGAAATTTAAATCCAATATGAGATTATTGGAACAAATATAACTAGACAAAAGAATTTTTTGATATTAGGAATTCTTCTGTAGGATCAATGCAAAGAAGAAGAAGCCTACTGTACATTTATCTTCTGTCTCCAGGGACATATAATCAATCAATCATCAATCAATCAATCAATCAAACAAACAAGCCAGAACTCACTCAATGAGGGAAGATTCCAACTAAGCTAATTTAATAGGAAGGTGCCCATAACCATTACATAAAAATTCTACACATTAATGGGTAGAAAAACTCCAGAAACTAAAGAAAATGCAAAAGTAGAACCTTTATATTGAAAAAATTGTATATTTTCTATTTATTCAGTTTCACACATTATGGTTAATAATTTAGTTCCTTTAGACAGTAAATGCTATTATGCACATTTAGTTGGAGCATATCCAACTGAACAACATGCATTTTTGTCTAAAGTACCTAGTTAAAGTAGGGAAATCTAAAATAGGTAAACAGTATCAGGTGTGCTTAATATTTGGATGGAAAACAACCAGGAAACTCCATGGCTTTATGCAGACTGGGAAACTAAACATTTTTCCAGAAGAGAATAACAAACCAATTCCATATTCAACAAATCTACTTGGACTGTCAAAATAGATTTAGGAACTATGCCTTGCAGAATTGTACTCTTAATCTGATGTCTTTGGGATCCTATATATTAATAGCTTTTTTCCCTTGATAAAGATTTCCAAGTGCATCTGTCTTACATAGTGTCATCAAAGAAAGGATGATGTTGCAGCACATAGAACTATATTTTAATTGGGGTTCTATATAAATCAAAATTTCTCTGATGCAAAGTTCATTACATAATGCAGTCATATCAATAAATGTAACACATATACCAAATGAGGGAATTTTTGAATTTGAATTTTCAATAATCCTGCATAAATATGACCTAAAATGTGATCTGCTCTCCAAACAAGTTCTAAAACTAACAGCAAATAAAGAGATGTCATATCAATTTAGAAATATTAAAAATTCAAAAGAGTTCACAAAATTTTAAGCAGCACTGTGTTCTTTTTCAGAATGTAAAGCTACTCATTTAAACAAAAATCTATTCCAAGCAACACCAAAAGTTTGACTATTTTAAAAGATTTGGGAGGAACCTAAATGTTAATGAGTCATGAATCTAGCTGATTGGTCTTCTTCTGCTTCTTCATTCATTATCACAGAATTGAAAGATTATCTTTAAAGGGGAATTAAATTAATGGAGGATGTGTCTATCAAAGACTATTAATCTTAAGATTTAATGAGGGCAGTATGTTTTCCATTGAAAGGTGGTAGTATGCTTCAAAATAATTGCAGGGAAACAATGATAGAAGACAGTCTCCATTTTCTGGAATGAATATCTTATAGTTGACAATATGCAACACAATTATGGATTAGGATGAGCATTGATTTAATCTAGCAGGGCTATTGTTCCTATCACTATCACCAACATTTTTCTTAGAAATTACCAATTAAAAAAATATTCAAGCAACAGCTTTCTGATTACCTTTTCCTTTTTGAAATCTACAATTACATCACAAGAACTATATAAAACAACAATAAAACCTGTTTTTCCTATTACCCTTACCCTTATTTATTTATTATTTATTTATTTTTTCAAGCATGTATTAGACAACATATATATGTATAAGCATGATTTTGGATACATGAAATGGATACGAATAAAAAGAAACATTAGGACAGGGACGGTAGGCACGTTGATGTGCTTATGCACCCCCCTTACAGATCTTAGGAATGGAGTGAGGTCGACAGTAGACAGTGTAAGTTTAACACTGTAGGAAGCCAGCTATTTGTGCTGGAATTCTTAGATATAGATAGACATCCTTTTGATGATCAGAAGCCAGACTGAAACTTGTATGACTAAGGATGTCAGACTGTGTGTGTGTGTGTGTGTGTGTGTGTGTGTCTGTCTGTCTGTTTGTCTGTCTGTCTATCTATATATCGCCTATATTTATAAAAAATGAGCCGTTCAAGTCTCAAAACAACATACAAATATTTTGAGTTCTTGCAATCACATTCAGAGGAGGATTCAGGGATTGCCAAAAAGGAGATTTGGAAGTTGCATAGCGTCCTTCTGTAAGATGTATGAATTAGCAAGACCCTAAGGGTTTGTCACTGTTCATTCTTACATGAAAGGTTTTAAGAAATTTTTGAACTTAAATTAGTTTGGAAATTCAATGTTACGACAAAATGTACAATGCTTTCTGAAAGTTAGTAACTTTCCACAATGCCCATTTAGAAAAAAAAGAAAAAACAAGACAGCAAAAAAAAAAGGTTCACATATTCCAAGAAATGAAATGATATTTTAAAAAGGAATAGGGAATTTAGTGTTGCTGCACAGTGTTTTTTTCCCTGTGACATGAAATAAAGCAGCAGGAGTAATTTTTAAAATACGAGGACTGTTAAGAAGAGGATACTCTAATGTGACAACAGCATCAGGCTGCGGATATTACAGCTGGATGATTCTGGAGTGGGCTTGATACCTTGATCGTCCATGACATCAAACAACAGCAGGCACTTAAGCAAGACTGAGAGAGGCAGTCTAACAGACTAGACTGTTGGGTGAGAGAGAAAAAGAAAGCAAATGAGTGACGAAGAGAAAATAATGAAAACACACAGACATAAAAAAGATACAACAGACACAGTATGCACATCACAGTACAAATAATTTTAAAAAACAGGAAGTTGTTATATGCAAACACACCTTTTCCACATAACATATAATGAATGCAAGAGAGGAACAGAAAGAGGAATATTACTTAGATCAACCAATTCAGTGTGTTTACAAGTGGGAAGTGTACTTAAATTAGCATCATCAAGTCTTAACATGGCAAACACCTCAACCGGGGCCAGCGATTACATGTCTGTATATAACGATAATCCAGAACTAAATCAAAATAATATACAACTCTGTCTATATCAGGTCAAAGAAATTATCTATATACCCATATTATCTTCTCTGACAACCAGACAAGGATCCTGAATAGTGGTCTTTCAAATCACCCATTCCTGAACTATGGGGGGCTCTATACCTCTATTTTTCAAACATTGGATTAATAGAGCAGTCAAGTAATTTCACAGATTTCTATTTAAATGTGGTGAAACCAGGCACAATATTTATTATTTTAAAATTATGTCTCAGTTATAAGAATTACAGTATAGATTTGAGTTTCTATGAAAATGGTTGCCATTGTTACATCATACATTTTTCAATCGGCAGCTGTTATCCACCTCCTCAGTGTACAGTATTTGATTATCAAGCCTTTAATTAGCACTATATAAACTAAAAGGATGTAGAGAACAAAAGCTGAATATTTATGTCAGGGGCAGATAATCTGCAGCATCAGAGCTACAGGCAGCCTAACTCTTCTTCTTTTTTTTTGGTGGTCCTAGGATCCAGTGGTTTAAAATAAGTGGTCTGATTTCTATCTATTTTGAAGAGGAAATGCATGAAAATTGTAGTCTAAACTCTAAAATTGGCATACAAGGATTAAAAATGAAAGGTTACTAAATGTATGAGATTATCCATATCCACATGTGATATAGTCCCCATCTACTTAGCCTTCAACTACCCCATATGTAAACTATGACTTTTGGCCATTAAAAGGTTGTTGCTTACTTCATGGTGGAAGATTCTGCAGAACATTAATGCTCTCTAGTCCTCTCCATGCCAAATTTCTTGATTTACACCTCCTCCCCATATATTCACCAAAATTAAAATGACTTTAATTTGGCCTATTTCTTGTTCTTGCTGCCTACATCTACTCTGGACAATGACCTGGTCATTTATCTTGTCAATCAAATGAGAAGAAGTAGAGGTACAACATGATTAGAACAGATTTCCTTTAGAAATGCAAAGCCGAGCATTTAGAGGTTGGAAAACATGCAGCTATGGGAGCTGAGCCACACTTAATGTTTGAAAAGGAAACAATAACTGATACACAGAGAAAGCTGCTAGAATGGGGCAAGTTGACTAAAGAAAGAGGGAAGGGAGGGATGAGTCAATGATGCATATATCCAGTTTTTTTCTGTAAAATGACCCACTCAATATTTTAGCTTACTGTTTTGTGCTAAAGCCTTCTGTACTGATTTATAATGTATAAACTAGCATAACAAGTATGCTATGAGACATATTAATTAGATTTTAAAATGTTATTTATAAGTACTAATGTGCAGGTATACCTTTAATGAAAAATTACCTACAAATAGAAAGCTAAAATATTTTTCACAGCAAAAATCTTTGCAATGTTTTTGTTAGAAAAAAGACCCATTCTGTTTACTGAAACTTTCAAGCAAATCACTACCCTGTATGTTACCCTGTTGAACAGGTTGCTTACCAGTAATGGGCTCTTTGAAGGGTCATATGTGCATTCACACAGTCTTTCTTGGGAATTTTCCAAAAGTGAGAAATATTTTGGCAGGAAAGGAGCTTCACTGTTCATGCTTGAGGTTTCTCTTCTACTTCCCCGAGACAATACAGCAGGTACATGAAGCATCAGAATTTATCCAAAATAGTCACTAGAAAGTGGAAGGTGGGTGGGTTGCATGAATGCACAGATGATCTCTTAAAGATCCATGGTTACAGTTAATCAACTCTTTTTCTTCACTGAGGTCTCTAAGTGCTTCTTACATATGGGTAACTAGCAACCTTATCTTCTAGAAGCAAGCGGCTTATCACATGAACACAAAGACAACACATCTCAGCCAAAGGTAACATCTGTTCAGGATCAAACTGTGATGCAATAATGCTTGACAATTATCAGTGGTTGAGAACATGTATATTTGCACAATTCTAGCTAATGCATCACCTCTGGTCCTTCTTGAGCATACTGTACTTGGCAACTCTGATTTGTATACTTGGTTACAATTCTACATAACTACTGCAATGTTTTCTGGTGAGGCTAGCTTTGAAAAGGGACCAGAAATTGCTGCTACTGCAAAATGCTGTAGCTAGATTGCTAAGCTGCACTGACTAACAACTGTCTCTCAGACACTGTTTAAGGTTAGTTTCAAAGGTAGGTCTGATTATCTAAGGCAGGGTAACCAATCTTTTGGACCACTCAGGGACCACTAAGTTCATAATTTTAAATCCCGCAGATATGAATTTTTCAAAAAGATAAATAGTATTTAGTGCAATATAAAAAAATTCAAATAATTTTTCACAGACCACTGGTTGGTGACCTCTGATCTAAGGGACTAACTTTCCTATTATGAACCTGACTGGGTACTTCAATAAGAAGGATAGGCCCCTTTGAAGATTCATTGTCACAACCTTATCAATCTGGTATGCAGAAGAAAGATTTCTCCTATGTGTCTTTCAGGCCTGATAGCACTCCCCTCAATTCCCCTTCTCCCAGCATTTAGGAAAACGGCAAAGCATCTCTTTTGTTAATTGAAATGACTGAGGGTAATCAAGATGAGAATAAATTAAGATGGATGTAGTCCATGTTTAACAACCACTTCGTATAGTGACCATCCTCAGTTATGATGGTGATGAAAATCTAAACTTTCTAGCCAATCCTTCCTTGCATTTACAACCTTCATAGGTCTTTAAAGCAAAGGAAACTGAAGTAAGATTATATAAGCACAATGATAGTTTGCAAGCTTCCAGTCCTAATTGTAGTTGCTAAACAAGGATTATCTGTAGTATCCATCAAGATAAAGACTAGATTGAGATTTAGCATGTTCTGGAAAATAATACATTCTGCCTGAAAAAGCTGTCTGTAGCTACTGACTTCTTCATGGCCCACTGAAATCTTCAGAACTTCAGCTGGTAGCAGTTTTAACTGCAGGATTTGCATAATTATATTTACTGCATAAACTGTAGGCTTTTCAAAACCTACTGATTTGGGAACAGCTGTAAACGCCTCACTTGCACCATGTAACAGCCATATTGCTGACTGATGTATCCTATTGGACTATATTATTTTGATAGTGAATGGTCTACACTGATCACTGTTCAACAAGGTCAGTCCCAAGTGTTGATGTTACCTTTCAAGTTGGTATTAATACATGAGCCTATTTAGTATGTGAAAGATAAACTCAGTTACCGTGTGATAAGATGGGCAGCCATGCCTATTTCGGAGTACATGACATATAAATGAACTAATTAAATGCTGCATAAGGGACAGATGTTACAAAGATATGATGTTATCAATTCATTGTGGCACAAATAATTCCAACAAGTAATAGAATAAAGAAGACAATCACACTGTGTTCACACCGTACATATCAAAGTACAAACAAGGGAAAGCTAATAAAGGAGTTATCCTGTCATTTATGGTACATTCTATGGGTCAATGTGATCACTACAAAGGCGGGGTATTTACAAGGGAACAATAGTTCTTTCTATTTGTTCATAAAAGAAGCAAAACCTAGCCTAGCCAGTTTTTAAATCAGAGCCTTTGTTTAAATAGTACCTGAGTTTCTGCACAGTAATTTTTCTTCCTGCAAATTAAACTATTCTAAAGAACTCAAACAAGATTCTTTTGGAACAGAACATTTTAAAAGTTTATCATTTTCAAATATGGAACATAATATATATGTTGTGCATTTATTTAACTTTTCTGCAATATTTTAATTTGTTTTTTTAAGACTCTGCTATCTCACCTTCTGTTCAATTTCTTCATAATCATCTTGGTAACTTTCATAGAGTGTGTTGGATGAAGATGAAAATGTTGGATCCTGAGAATAGTATTGAGAACTTCTATAGCCATCTCTCCGAAGTTTGTCACATTCTGTAAGTGGCGGGGGAAATATAAGAAAAATATACCATTAACTGTTGTTGATTTACACATACATTCCAAATAAGAAGGGCAAATAGTTCCAAGGAGAATTTACTCATCTGTAACTAGTTTTATCCTCTTTAATAGTTGAAAAGAAGAAAATGTGGCTAATTTATGTGGCAATGTCAAGAGATAGAAGAACAATTGAAGATGATCACAAAGTATCAAAATCTGAAAACGAAGTTGAAAGTTTGTGGCATAAACTGACTGTGGTTGTCCCAGGCTATAAACTGACTATAATGGTACCATACACAAAAAACCCTAGATGGCGCTTAGAAAGTCTACTCATTGATAATAGTTCCATCGGTCACTTGCAATAGGCCACATTGCTTGGATTCGCACATATTATGCTAATACATTATAGTTCAAATTTCTATTACAAAACACACAATGACTGACTTTAGATGAAATTTAAGATGCCTATGGACATGAAATTACTTAGCTCTTTAAAGATATAGGGAATCATTCAAATGAAGTAGAAATTTCTCCTATTGCATTTGTTATCAGAGTCACATTGTTGATACAGAAGTAAAATACAAAGGTATCTGCAAAGTTTGTCACAATACAGGTTTGCACTTTTTGTACATGTATTGCAACATCTTATTAAAATCTTACAGGGGAAAAACGTATGGTACAAAAAAACTCCTAGTTCCCACATAATATTTATCAATGATGATTAAAAACAAAAAAATAATTTATCTCTCCCTCTTCCTATCTCTCTCTACACCTACGCGTGCACACACACAGACACACACGCCAATCAAGTTTGGGATTTTTCTAATCTCAGTTTATTCATGAACTCTTATCTGGTTTCTCTATTCTTTCTCAAAAGCAGCCAAGCAAGCACGATTTAAAGAAAAGCAAATTCAAATATGCTATAAGTCAATTACTTGAAACATAAAACTGTTTTTACAGAGACCAGCAACTGAATTCTATCTGAGAAAGATGTTAATGGCAATCTTCTGAACAGAGTAGAATGGCAAGCTTTGCAATTAAATTAAAGGTGCAGGATTATGCCAGATAACCAAGCTTGATTGTTTTCTCATCATCTCCTGAATTCATCATGTTACATAGTTACTTATCTCACTTAAATAATGCAGGAAACTCAAAACTTCTAGCAAATAGAGCCTGGCTTTGTTACCAAAGAGCATATTGCAAGCAGCAAAGAATACATTGGCAGAATCTTTTATTACATAGATGATGAAGATTATGCAGTTCTGAAAGCCACATATAGAACTATAAAATACTGTTTTTAAAAAACATCTTTTTTCTGGTGTAATTGTTTTTTGTCCCAATTCAGTCTATTTCAAAGGTTTGTTCACTTGGCAAAATGCTGAAGTCTGGTTTTGCATGTAGACTAGGAAAAAAGTATTTCGTCAGCCACCAATTGCGCATGTTCTCCCACTTAAAAAGATGAGAGGGGCCTGTAATTGACATCATAGGTAGACCTCAACTATGAGAGACAAAATGAGAAAACAAATCCAGACAATCACATTGTCTGATTTGGAAAGAATTTATTTGCAAATTATGGTGGAAATAAGTATTTGGTCAATATCAAAAGTTCATCTTAATACTTTGTTATATATCCTTTGTTGGCAATGTCAGAGGTCAAACTTTGTCTGTAAGTCTTCACAAGGTTGGCACACACTGTTGCTGGTATGTTGGCCCATTCCTCCATGCAGATCTCCTCTAGAGCAGTGATGTTTTGGGGCTGTCGTTGGGCAACACGGACTTTCAACTCCCTCCAAAGGTTTTCTATGGGGTTGAGATCTGGAGACTGGCTAGGCCACTCCAGGACCTTGAAATACTTCTTACGAAGCCACTCCTTCGTTGCCCGAGCAATGTTTCATCTTCAATGCCCTTGCTGATGGAAGGAGGTTTGCACTCAAAATCTCACGATACATGGCTCCATTCATTCTTTCCTGTACACGGACAGTCGTCCTGGTCCCTTTGCAGAGAAACAACCCCAAAGCATGATGTTGCCACCCCCGTGCTTCACAGTAGGTATGGTGTTCTTTGGATGCAACTCAGCATTCTTTCTCCCCCAAACACGACGAGTTGTATTTCTACCAAACAGTTCTAGTTTGGTTTCATCTGACCATATGACATTCTCCCAATCCTCTTCTGGATCATCCAAATGCTCTCTAGCAAACTTCAGACGGGCCCGGACATGTACTGGCTTAAGCAGGGGGACACCTCTGGAACTGCAGGATCTGAGTCCCTGGCGGCGTAGTGTGTTACTAATGGTAGCCTTTGTTACGTTGGTTCCAGCTCTCTGCAGGTCATTCACTAGATCCCCCCGTGTGGTTCTGGGATTTTTGCTCACCATTCTTGTGATCATTTTGACCCCAGATCTTGCGTGGAGCCCCAGATCGAGGGAGATTATCAGTGGTCTTGTATGTCGTCCATTTTCTAATTATTGCTCTCACAGTTGATTTCTTCACACCAAGCTGCTTGCCTATTGCAGATTCAGTCTTCCCAGCCTGGTGCAGGTCTATAATTTTGTTTCTGGTGTCCTTCAACAGGTCTTTGGTGTTCACCATACTGGAGTTTGGAGTGTGACTGTTTGAGGTTGTGGACAGGTGTCTTTTATACTGCTAACAAGTTCAAACAGGTGCCATTAATACAGGTAATGAATGGAGGACAGGGGAGCCTCTTAAAGAAGAGGTTACAGGTCTGTGAGAGCCAGAAATCTTGCTTGTTTGTAGGTGACCAAATACTTATTTTCCACCATAATTTGCAAAAAAAATCTTTCCAAATCAGACAATGTGATTGTCTGGATTTGTTTTTTCATTTTGTCTCTCATAGTTGAGGTCTACCTATGATGTCAATTACAGGCCTCTCTCATCTTTTTAAAGTGGGAGAACATGCACAATTGGTGGCTGACTAAACACTTTTTTGCCCCACTGTGTATGTACCACATCAACCAAAGTTTCCATTTCCTCCCATTTTTATGCATCCTGAATTATGTGGAATGTTTAGTATCTGTTCAAATGGATTATATAACTTATTGTGATACTGAGATGTTGTTGTAACATTGTGATGTTTAATTCCTGGTAGCTACCCCAGAGTCATGACGTTGAGATGATGAATACACACACAGACACAGACACAGACACAGTAGAAAAGTTAGCCATTTTCCTTTTAGCTGGATGGGATAAGACTATGTGATCAATCTTGAAAATGTGGTTACACAATTTACATATCATAATGCACTATTCCAAGTCTCCATGTAGGCATAGTATATGCAGTGCTACATTTATACAACATTGAGAACTTTTGCTGTAATAGCACAAAGCACAGTACAAATCACAAAATGAATCCTCTTCATAATATTTTTATGCTGCTTTTTCACTGAATAGGATTCTGATAATATTTTCTTTTATTATCATTGTCTATTTTCCATGCCATTGTAATAGCAGAGCTACTAGTCATAAAAGCTTTGGTTTACATTACTTCAAATATCATGTTTTTGAGGATGAAGCTATTTCACTTCTCACAACTAAAAAGCTTCCAACAGCAGGTACTGCACAAACCATAAACTGCATGAGAAAGTTCATTATTCCTCTAGGGACGGAGAGTCCAGGGGTACAATGCTAAACTACTACCACTCCTGCCTTCTAAATTATGGTATTTTTTATTTTTTTATATAAAGTTTTTTATTTTTTTCATTTTCATAACAAATAACCACATGTTATGTGCGGCGCTCTGCTTCTGGCGGGCCGCTCATGACTCTTGGACCGAATGGATAAGGAACACGCCGGACGCGGTTTCCTCGGGATGAGGGCCTCGAATGTACTTCGGGGACCTCTTTTNTCTTTTTTCAAAAACAACTTGTAAAGATGCAAAGAAAATGGGTGTGTGCAGATCTAAATTTCCTAATTATTTATAAGTTCTGTTTTCTGACTTTATTAATAAAGATAAACAGTTCTTCTCTGAACAATTTATGTCAATAGAACCAGGCCATCTTTCCATTAATGTTATTTTTACTTGTGGAATGTGAAGGCCTTATAGTCAGTTCTCTGCTTCCCATTTCATCTCTGCCTCTTGGGCCTTTTTGGAAGATTATAAACTGAAGAAATTGCAGTATCAGTCATGGCAGAAAACATAGTTTTATAAATAAATAAATGATAAATACTGTGTTTCCCTGAAAATATGCCATGTCCCAAAAATAAGGCCATGCCTGATTTTTGGGATGGGCCTAAATTTCCCCCCCCCCCAAATAAGCCCAGTGGACAACCCCCACCCCTCTGGCTGGGCAGAGCGCCACTAACCAACTGAGTGGTACCCCGAAGGCGCCAAGCCGCATGAGCACCTGTCGCCCCCCTGCTTGTGCGCCTCCCAGACCTCATCTCGTCAATGTGGGTGAAGCTGGTGAGCACCAGGTCCTTGAGCTCACAGCCGGTGCTGCTGGTGCCCACCACCAGCACTCCTTGCGGAAGCCACAGCCTGGATCAGCTCTCCCTGCAGGGCCAGGGCTGTCGCCTCCACCATCCCAGCACTGAGGATGGCTTCCTCTGGGGCTTCCAAACCCCAGCTGGGCCAGCCGCCTGCTGCCGAGTCTTCTGGCAGCCGAGGCAGAAACATAGAGGGGGAAGCGCACTCCCAGAGTGGCCACTGCCGGAAGACTCTCTGCCCCGGCTCTCAGAAGATTCGACAGTAGGCAGCTGACCCAAGTGGTCTCTTCTTTGCTTCCAGACGAGGTTTGGAAGCCGCAGAGGAAGCCATCCTCAATGCTGGGGTGGTGGCGGCAGCGGCGGCGGCGGCAGCCCTGTCCCTGCAGGAAGAGCTGGTACTGATGGTGGGTACCGATAGCATCAGCTGTGAGCTCCTCAAGGACCTGGTGCTCACTGGCTTCGCCCACATTGACAAGTTGAGGACTGAGAGGCGCGCGAGTGGAGAGAGATACAGGCACTCGCACGGTTTGGTGTCTTTGTGATACCGCTCGGTCG